CAATCCAGCTGGGTGGGGTTACCATCCAACAGAGTGGGGTTACCCTGCAACTGGGTGGAGTTCCCTCCAACTGAGTGGGGTTCCCCTCCAATTGGGTGGGGTTACCATACCATCCAGCTGGGTGGGGTTCCCCTCCAATTGGGTTGGGTTACCCTCCCCACCCAACCCTCCAACTGGGTTGGGTTACCCTCCAATCGGTCGGGCTTTTACCCTCAAAACTGGGGGAGGAATCACCCTTCAAACCCGATTGCCCTTTGGAGGCAGAGGAATCACCCTTCAAACCAGTCTCAAGTCACCCACGAATGCCGCACTCCACTTACCTTCCCCACAACAGACCGGTCGATGGTTAAACTCATCGAGACACAACGACGGAATCAGTTTCACCAGCAACCACGAAATCAGCTCAAGCAAATATACCAAACACGATGCAGACTCCAACAACACGTGCCAACTAGACCTTTGCACAGAATACAGAATTGCCCTACATCACGGTAATTGAAAATGAGTGAAGCTGACCCTGTTCATCAAGAGAGAGACTGCAACAGAGGACAAAGGTTGATTGTAGACAGAGTAACCGATGTGAGAATCCAAATTCGCTCGCAACCCCCCAATCCGAACGCACCCGTGACGCCACTGATTCACACACATAGACCCCCTACGTTGGGCCTCGCTCCACTACTCATCATTCTAAATGCATTTGGGAGCCTCTCTTGACCAGGTGCATTCCAAAATTTTGAATGTACCAGGTCTACGGAGAGGTCCAAATACAAAACAGAGTTGTCTCGCAACACCCCAATCCGAACGCAGCCGCCACGCCCCTCCTTGACAGACAAACCTCCTTCGTTGGGCCTCGTTCCGCTCCTCAACATTCTAATTGAATTTGGATGCCTCTTGACCGGGTCCATTCGGAGGGGTCCAAAATTCTGAACGTACCAGGTCCACTGAGAGGTCCAGATACATATCGCAAACCGATCTAGGAATGCATTCAGGGAAGCATACCAATAAAAGGAAAGCGAATTTTCAGGAGGGATGTTTATAAAAAACCGCAACAGCACATCACGCAGCGAAACTGCATACCAAGCAAAACACCATGTGTAACAAGATGGAGACATCCACCTTCACGCCTTTGAGAAGAGAAAAAGACAAACGCGAGGATCGCGATGTGGGGACCACAAGAATTCAAACACAACCCGAAGAATTCACACCACAGCGCCAGAGATTTAGAAAACCACATTCACCGTTTTTCTCCATTGATCGCGAGGAACTCACCTTACAACTTCATCAAGCGTAAACGCACAGGAGGTGCCTGAAATTCCTTTGTCAAGCGTCTCACCTTAACGACATCATTGCTACGTTACAAGACGGACAAAAAGCAAACGACAACAGTCCGCATCCAGCAGCGATGCGATCCTCAAGACCCGTTCCATTCATCTCTATACATCACGGCCAGACCCAAAATTGAGATGCTGTCACACGTAAGCAATCGAATATCACCACGAAAAAAGAGCAGCACGCGACAACAAAACCATCTTCAACGCCCGCATCCAGCAGCGAGTGCCTGTTCCATTCATCTCTATACATCTCGGCCAGACCCAAAATTGAGATGCTGTCACACGTAAGCAATCGAATATCACCACGAAAAAAGAGCACCACGCGACAACAAAACCATCTTCAACGTCCGCATCCAGCAGCGAGGGATCCTTTAGACCTGTTCCATTCATCTCTATACATCTCGGCCAGACCCAAAATTGAGATGCTATCACATGTAAGCAATCAAAGATCACCTGACAAGCAACGCCTACTAGCAGCCCGACGATGGGAAACGACCGGTTGACACGCGTCCGGCGGCACGAACAATGCCCGCCTTGCACACCAAATCGGTCCATCTCTGCATGGAAAAACTATGTGGGTTAGAGCAGGACCAATCGCAAGTCCAAACAGCGCTCTTAATACTCCCCTACCCGATTAATTCATCTTCACATCCATCTACAGCCATCCATACCCACATGCCCCGATTAACTTCGCCCACTAACCCTCGAAAACACTTCAGGTATAGGCTTCAGGAACTACTCTGCAGAAGACAATGGATCCTCAGCAGACTTTCCCGCTCGACACCCGCCTTGCTATACAAGCAACAACATTCGCGTCCAGTTCGTCACACCGCTTCAAAAGCATCAGCAAACACACAGCTCATGAAAAGACATGCATCACGCTTAATTACAGCCATCAAGTGGATTGATTCGACGAGGTTTAATCCACGCCAACAAACATACGCATGATCTGCACTCGCTTCGCAAGGAGACCAAAATCTGACCGCCCTCGCCTGCGCTCCGAATAGCCATCGGTAACTTCCTGGATTGGTAGGTCACATTTTCCTCTGCAGCCACCCACACCGGCCAACCACGGCCCGAAGCAAGACCAACCCTAGGCATCGTGCGAAAGACAATTTAACTGAGCCCTTCAGCGCTCTCTCTCTCTCTCTCTCTCTCTCTCTCTCTCTCTCTCCGCGTTGGAAAAAAGGAAAAAGGGAGGCACTGCTATCAATACAGTGACAACTGGAAAGAAGAGTGTAACCCTTGGATATCGAGACAGGTCCATGATGGCCAGAGTCAGCGACAAACCGGCAACAAAAGAGATAAGAGCAGAGGAATTGACAGCGAAGGAAGATACAACGTACGTGGCAGCGAGGGGGGAAAACCACAGGAGAACTACAAGGCAACGGCAACTATGTGGAGTCCCAGAGAGACGAAGGACAATAGACCAGGCTGGCCAAAGAACGCGCCTGAAACAGCTATGAAGGACAACGCGAGATGTCAGTGCCACTAGAAGGCAAGAGGACAGGCAGCGAGCAATCCAGGAACCCTAGACAAAAACCCTTGAAGAGCTCGAGAGACAAAACGCAGAACGCAGATCTGAGCTGTGACAAAACGCAGAACGCACGGAAAAGGACTCGCAAACAAGTAAAATATACGAAGAGACTCCAAGGGAGAATGGGGGAACAACAACGGGCGCCCAGAGGACAGGTGGGAAAATTGTGGACGAGCAAGCCAGCCGGATAAGCCCGAGGACGGACGCGGCTTATTGTGCAGGGTTTTGCCTGCAGCGAAACAAAATAGATTGCTGAGAAATTTTAGGGCACAAGATGAAGACTGACGAAGGCAGCAAAGCGAGGGAGGTTCGACATGCGTAACAAGGAAAAGCGGACTTGGAAGAAAAAAGAATGAATAACACTGGACGAAAGACATACGACACCGTGTCAATGTGGGGACTGGGATTGGAAAGAGCATTAAAGAAAAGATTACTCGAGGAGAGAAAGAAAGACTGGACGGCGAGCTGTGCGAATTCTGAGCGAACGGCAGGAATGGATGTTGGATCAACTGACTGGACAGGGCGCAGAATCGAAGAGAGAGAAGGGATAAGAACGAAAGAAATCACGCCAAGGATGAACTGTTTTATCAAGGCGCAGAATCGAAGAGGGAGAAGGGATAAGAGCGAGAAACGCAGATAAGGGCGTTGACGAAGGGACTGCAAGAGATTGATGCAGGATTGGTAACAGAAGTAGGAAGACGATCAAGATTACGATACGAATCGTGAGGAGGCGAGGATAAAATGCGAAATGAAAGCCGAGGGAGAGGTTCGAGATGCTTTCCAAGGACCGGAGAAAGAGATGCCATAGCTTAAGGAGACATCAAGACGACTAGCATGTGGAGCTGGATGGAACCGATGCGATACGACCAAACAGATGAAAGAAGCGGTGGAAGAGCGACATACACAGTCCCAGGAGAGCGTCCTATCATCCCTTCGACTACTCTGCTACAGACATCGTAGACGTTCTTAACCAAGCCTGTGAATGAATCTTTTCTTACTCTTCGGACTGGAGAGCGGCAGCGAAACCTCGTGGACAATCGAAGTTTCTTCTTTGACACTACATTCCTCTTGATCATTTCCCCTGTGTCCACCGGCTCTCTTACACACAGTACAGCCAACTGACAATTCTCACGAATCTTCCTCCAGTCGTATCAAGAAGCCACACTCTCCCCACTCCGACAATCACGCACGTCTCCCACAAAATGCCACTTCGTCCGATCGACAGAGAGATCGGTCATTTCGTACCCATGACGTACAGATATCGTAGTTAGCCACCAGTACCACCACACAGCACTCGTTGTTCGGTAGTGAGCCACAAACTCACATCAACGCCCGCTCCCACTTACCGACTCTGCGTTCCCCGCGCTCTGAAGCTCCTCCGGGTAGGCGTCGCACAAGCACGCCACTAGGACGATATTCAAACAGGGCGAGAGAGACGGCGAGAGCAAGCAAGGAGAGACAGATCACCGATTGCTTAATTCGCCGTTACAGGAAAAAAATGTCACTCGTCGATCACGTTGACGAGTTCATACTCCACAAGTGACAGATTATTATCCTCCTTCACCACAAAGGCCGCAGGCTCCGCCTCTTCCACCAATCCCCACTTGTCGACGGCCAATCTCATCGAGCCCTTGAACATGTCGATCTTTGCATTTCTCAGCTTGATCGTCTCACCTTCCTTCATTTTGTCCACTTGGTCATTTCGCGCCGTGAAGACTATGACGCCTGTCTCGTCGCCCACTATGCTCTCGGCTATCCGAACCTGACGAACCTGATTGCCATCAGGTCGAGATCGTTGCAAAACCACCTTCGTGGAGACAACCTTCACGACCAGGTTGTGACCGGAGGTCCCTGGTCGGAGGTCGGCGACCTTGATGAAAACCGGCTTCCGCAGCGGGGGACCTGCCATAGCTCGCGAGAAGAGAGGAACAAACGTAACGAAACAAGTGACGCCTGCGGAAGCCTGCACGCCGTCAGGATTGACTCCCGATGGAAGCTGCTTGTGCTTTCCGCTCCCGCTATCCAGGACCGCGGCCTTCAAGAGGAGATTGGTGTCGTACGAGATGTGGGACGCCAGAGAGGAAGAACCATACCGGCCACGCGGCTGGAGAGTGACGCACGACTCCAGGACGCACATAATACAGCCAAACACGGGATTTTAGTACAAGGGTCTCCCAAACAGTCCCCGTGCTCCGCCTGAATCCCAAGTACGCGACGGTGGACGAACAACTGGCAATCCACGGGCCGATCTACCCCGCACA